TGTCCGGCGTTGAAAATGCAAATGTAAGAGGATGAAGGACAAAATTTAGGCGAGAATTTCCAGAAGTGGAAGTAAAGGATGCTACGGTAAAGCAAACTAAGAATAGATTTTGGTTTCATGCTAGCGGCCGCGGAGGCCTCCGTTTTCACTGGTATTCGGTAGGCGGGAGGAAACTGATAGACGAAAGGTTTGGGAAGAGATTCTACAAAAATTCAACTCCCAACATCCAAACAGAATTAACAGGGACACTGATCATATCCATTGAACAAATTTGGTGAGATTGGTTGGGAATATTAACCAGATTCAGACTTTTTATTTCTGTTTTTTGACAATGAATTCTATGAGAGCAGATCAGCTAAGGAGTAAAGCTGAATGAATTAAAAAGACCGTCTGGTGTTTTAGCAAAGACGGAAACCAAGTGAAAAAGTACGGCCGGAGACAAGCAAGTATAAGGGAATATCAAAATATGAGGGAGACGGGCTTTCCTTGGCTTTTTTTTTTATGTTGACCTAGCAAAGCATCAAGATGCACTGGAAAGTTTGCGCTTAGCTATTCTGTCCTCCAAGAGGAAAGTTGAGCACTAAATATACTGAAATAGACGGTTTCACTTGCAAAGAACTACTTTCCAAGCCCACAATGGAAGCACGACTCAACTCACGTGTTCCAAGGCATGTGTGTGCATGCGATGGAAAAACAGATTTTGGGGCAGTTATATGCATGGAAAATAAATCAGTTTCCAGATCCAGTTAACCTGCGACCATGCATTCCCTTTTTCTTTGGGAGACAGTGAGAGGAAAAAACAAACGTTTGCCCTTCCCTCTTCCTCTTCCCCAAAAGAAGAACCCCTGAGCGCTTTTTAAGATACAGTCGCCCTACTGCGGTGTCTAGCTAGGTTTGAATTAATGAGAACGATGTTGAGTATACACGTTTTATTGTACTGAATTAATAGGACTTCAATGAATATCGCATTTTATATTAAGCTTTTTCTACTTAAGCAATTGTTGTTATAGCTTCAAATGAAAACAGTTAAATACAATGTTAGCTTGAGTTTTAACTTGCCAGTTAAAACTCTATTGGCCTTATCAATATCCTAATACATGTATACATTTTTTATACGTTACGTACGAGTTTTAATATTATACCACTTAATTCGAACATTGAAGTGTGTGCAGCGCATGGGGTAGTAATTAACGGATCCATTACACTAACCAGGCAGTTAACAATATTTATTTAAAGAGCAGTAAGGTCTATTAATTAGACCCTAGCGCACGTGCTGTTACAGAAAAACTAGAAACTTTGATTTTATCCAAGAGGTGTCATATATGAGGTTCTTGTTTACGCCAAAATATTGCATTAAAGGGGGTTATATCACGCCATTTGCTATCTTTCTAAAAACCTAAAGTTTTTAACGCATCGATTGAACTAGCAAAATAGTTGTCCACTTTTCTTGTTTAAGACCTTATTAAAGCATTGGAACTGTTTCCAGTCGTCTTTAATACGGATGGCAACGATGGACATGGACTGGAACTTGAACGAAAGTTGGGCCAACTTTTCAGTCAAGTTTTATTGCTATATGCCCCAAAAAATCACCCCAAAAATATCGTGGTTACCGAATGTTCCCGGATGAAATTTGTTTGGTATCTTCTTCATAACTCTACACAGGAGCGTTTGTTCATGTGCGTGTATAGGTACTAACTAATGACTTCAGCTAAGAATTGACATAAAACACTGCTATATCGTCGTGGCTAACCCCTTGAACCTCGATAGCATCCGCCTATTTGAAGCACTGCAATATAGTTTTTAGGTGGGTTTTAAACTTTGCAGGTGGTCAACTTTATAATTAAAGGGAGTGAAGCCCTGTGAGAGAGGAAGCAAATGAATGTGAATCAGTACATGGCATGTATCAGTCATGACTCAGAAGATGTAAAAAAATCACCGTGAGGTCTTAAAGAGCTAGACGGGATCGCGGAGAACCGATTTAAGTGCTGTTTATATATAGGGAGGAAGTTCCTAACACCTTGAAGATCCTAGAAGGTGGAATAACTTTTCGTCAGGTTTGCATGCAGAAATTTCGGTCCGTGTGGTTACCACTGATTACCACATAGAGAAGGGATTAAAGATGGCGGGCGACAATAAAAAACATGCAATTTGCGCCCCTCTGCTCTCTTTACTAGCATAAAATGTAAATTACTACATTCCAGCAGCAGCTTGCAGAATCATCAGTGGTAAAACCAAAAGAAATTGTTCGCCTTTGTTGCCGTGATTACCCATGCACTGAACGACTCGCCGCCATTTTCGTCTGGTTTGTCCTTATCTTCCTCGTGCGAGGATCTTCCTCAGTATCCCCCAGCTTGGGAGATCCTAGTACTAGGAAGATCCTAGCGCCAGGGACAAGTATACAACCCTTTGCGTGTAAACAGAATGCAGATAACCTATGGAACTATAATGATCTGCCCTCTAGGATATTCCGGCCCCGGAGGTAATCAGTCACTAAGAATAGTTGCCTCTAGCCCAGGGTTATCTCTAACATTTCAAGTTTCCGAGTAAGTACAACAACTAGGTGGGAAATTAAACAGCTAGGAGTTTCTTTGGGTTCTATTTTTCTTCTATTTTCCTTTGAAAGTAGCCAGGGGCCCACGTTCATAGTAGACGTGGGAAATCTCCGGCTCCTGCCTCTTATAATGGCAGCCCTGCTCTAGCCTCTTCCAGGTTCCAAGAAAGATACTAATAAGCACTTTCTTGGAACCTGGAACAGGCTAGAGCAGGGCTGCCATTATAAGTGGTGGGAGCAGATCCAGCTAGAAGGGCTCAAATCATGATTGCATGTTTGTTACTGTCGCCCGCCATCTTTAATCCCTTTTTAGTAACCACACGGACCGAAATTTCTGCATGCAAACCTGACGAAAAGTTGTTCCGCCTTCTAGGATCTTCATGGTGTTAGGAACTTGCTCCATATTTATAAACAGCACTTAAAATTCGTGATCCTGTCTAGCTCTTTAAGACCTCACGGTGTTTTTTTCCATCTTCTGAGTACTGATACTTGTACTGATTCACATTCATTTGCTTCCTCTCTCACAGCTTCAGTCCCTTTAATTATAAAGTTGACCACCTGCAAAGTTTAAAACCCACCTAAAAACTATATTGAACTATATTTAAAAAAAGACATTGAGAACGCTTGAATCACGAAATTTAGTGCCCTTTTTTCACATTTCCGTATTGAAATCGCGAAATGTTGTCTCGCCAAAATCGCGAAACTAAGTACCGAATAAGGTATTTTTGCATGGATTACACAGGCCACCCAACACAAAAACGCGAAATTAGACTTGGGAGTATCTAATTTATTAAATAGTAGCAGGTCACAGCGACAAACCGTTGACTGATGCCGGATTTCTCAGTTCAGTGTAGACTTGGATCAGTACAATAACAACGCGTTAGCGTTGAAGCAACGAGGAAAATGGGAAGAATTACTTCGCCGATCGTAATTCGAGAGCTTCGTGTGCATTGTTTTTCTTTTTCTTTTTCTTTACTGTTATTTTCTTTCTTCTTCTCCTTTTCTTTTTTTTTTTATTTGTGCACTCTCAAAAGGAACCGTCAACTACGCAGGGTAAGACTCCTATTTTATTATTAAAATCATTATTTCATAATCGCTATTTTTTTTTCAATACTTACTCGTTAGCTTTAATAATGACCGATTTTCTCTTCATAAATCTCATGTTTTGTCAGCTGTAGTACGGACGACGACTTTTGTTTTATTTTATATTATTTTTTTATCAATAAAAAGCTCGTGCATTTTATATTTATACTTATTTTTGCTCAATAACCAGCTTCTCCAAAACTTTTTAATTAAAAGCCTTGGGGCCGGGAACCATATTGGCATGAGACGGCAAGTAAGGTTAAGTTAATAATAATAATAATAATAACAATAATATTAAATAGCAATAATAATAATAATAATAATATATTTTTCCAGGAGCCTATATTTTTCATTTTATTATAATAATTTCATTCAACTTTAAAATATATGTACATAATTTACAGAAATATTTGAGGTAAGAGTTAAGCACTATATAAAATTAAGAATTACATAAATCATGAAAATAGAAATCACTGTGTCAACAACGATTTCGAAAATACATTCCTTGCGGCTCAGATGCGGTCAATAACTGGCATTCAGTCCAGAGTTTAAAATTAAGTCATTACAAAAAAAGACTTCCGTCTCTGATACTAAAAAGAAAACAAATTAAAAAGAATAAAATCTCGTATTCCTAAATTCCTAATTCTTTAAAAAGTTCTTTACAAAATAATAATAATATTTATCCAGGGAGCCCTTCCCCTTCAGCGGTTTTCAGCGGGGCTCTGCAAATAAGAAAAAAAAAATTAAATGCTAAATCACCTATTTGAAAACTAGGAAAAGAGATAAAAATCAATATTTACATGTAAAACTAATTTTAAAATAGTTTAGAGGCTTGAAAAAATGAAAGTTTGCTTTCCCCAGTGAAATGGGTGTGCACGCGAGGAAGGTGTACCCCAGGAGCCCATGGGCTCCTGGTGTACATCATTAGTTCTGCAGCACAGAATGGAAATTACTATGGCGCCCGGATGTCAAATTTAAAATCAATTTCCCCTGACAGATATTTCGCATCATGATTTGGAATCTTGTAGTTTAAAAGAAAACATGTAGAAAATATGAATCTCACATGGAGTTAGCGCTTTCTTTTTCAGTTAGACGTCAAAAGATTGCTTATTCCCCCTCACTCTCCCCTCCCCTCCCCTCCCCTCCCTACAGAGAGCACTGGACTTGTGATACCTTCCTGCAAAGTCCCCATGATCCCTTGTGAACAGTATCGATTGGCATGCCGGGAATTTTTAAGGCGCCATTTTGATGTGTGGTTTCTGTTTGTGAGAAAGTGTGGGAACCGATCTTCTTCCGTATTGTTTGGCTGTCTGACTGAAGGCGAAGACTTGTTTCTTGAGTAGTTTTGATTTGCTCGTGTGTATCTTCCAATACGAAACTTCCTGTGGCTCATCTGTCTGTCGCTATGAGCTGTGACGAGAAGAATAACAAGCGAAGGAAGAAGCGTTCGAAGCAGAGTTCGGAAGGGAATTCGCACGCTCCGAAATCAGTCGAAAATCGTGAGGTATGTAGGCCGAACATTAAGCACACGCACTGCAGTTTTCACTAAAAAAAGGATCAACACTATGAGAAGTGGGTTTCAGGTGATGTACATCTCTTGTTTTGACGGTAATTTTCTATTTCCGTCTGGCTTTAGTCTTGGCCTTGGTGGTTTGCTTAAAATGGAATGTTTGTTTTTCACTTAGACGTCTTTCATGTTAGTTGCATGACTTTGAAATGGGTTCCATTTCTATCTATTCACCTCCTTTAAACACGACATAAATTATAAAGCGATGATTTTGCTTGGTTTCGTTTCGGCCATCGCGAAATGAAGGATTTTTGTTTCGCTTCAACAGACACTGCCAACGAGTTTCTGGCATCGAGTTATATAATTTTTAGTCTTTCATATCGCATGTTTAGACGAGGTGTCATGGAGGTTATTTATCACTTAGCAGCGTGTTTAGCTGGTAAAGTAAAGAACTCTGTTGTTCCCTTTGGTAATAATGATTCTCTGTTATTAACTTTTTTTGTTGTAAAGATATTTCCAGTTTAATGACCTACGTAATTAGAAATAACAGTTGGTAGAAGACACGAATTCTAGCGATCATGTAATGCTGGTGTTCTGTGAACACATTCCATAACAGATTTTTAACATCTATCTCGATTGTGAATTTAAAAATGTTATTACCCCCATTATATTAACTGGCGGAATTATTTTTTATGAGATGTGAAATTGATATTTCACTTAGAGATACGATCTGAACCTTCTGTTTTCACTGTATTTACATGCTTCAAAAAGTTGTCCTTGCTTGTGAAGCCATTGAGCTAATTTATTTTTAAATGGTCTACATTGTTTACCTATAAAGAGAGACAAAGTTTATAACTTATAAACACAGTTTTCACAAGTCTTCCTCTTGTAACAAGGTAATGTCTGTTTTATGCACTTGCTTTTGTGTCAATCTCCTTTCAATTTTACTAAGGTGGAAGGAATTGGGCCACTGATTGTTGTTATTTTATTATCGTCCTTTTATACTTTGTATATCAGTGAAAATTATTTGACTTTGCTTTTTTTTCATGATATTAGGGAGGAAAAGCAGTTCAAACTCATGTCAACTCTTCAGACGTTAAACTTTCTCAGGTCAGTACTGTTCCATTTAGAGCCAAGTTGTTTTGACCCTTTCTTTCTTGTTCATGTCAAAACAATCTTCAAATAAGCAAAGCTGTTTCATAAACATTGCATTTATGCCTTGTATTTTTTTTGTATTTTGTGGGAACTAGATTATTGCAATTGGTCCGGTGTGATTACTATGATATCTTCCTGTGACAAGCTGCATCCTCTAGAAACAGTCATGGTTATGTGTACAGACCTTAAACCATTTGCCCCCTGGAGATTTTGCCAAAAAAAGCGTTTTAAAGCTAGTTGAGCGGTTTTCTGGTCACTGTTGTTCTATAGAGAGCTAAAATTTACCACAAGGCCATTTACAGATCGTACATGCACTTCACGACCTTCTGATCCAGATGCAAAGTAGTAGCTTGTGAAGTTCAGGCATGCACGGAAAGCAAAATGTCGACACAGCAGCATGTTTTTGTGACACAGCAGTCTTGAATTTTACTTTTCGCTTTCTCTCCTCACCTCTTTTTTCACTTTTCTCGCCTCAATTTTTTTTCTCTTTTGCTGGGTATTTGGTAGGCTTCATTTTGGTGGGAAAAGTTTTTAGGAAAGCTATTAGGATCTTAGGATTAGATGAAAGGAAAGGTGGGTAGGTAGTGGGACAAGACTTTCATGGAAATTTTCAGGTCAATGTTACATGGTTTTTTGCATTTTTCTCTGGTGTCCTTTGCTGAATTTTGCTTATTCTGCCATGGTTTGAAAGATCTCTTCACTCTGCTCAAGATAGTTGACAAAGTTGTCCTTGGCCATTAAAACTTATGATGTTACACGCGGTAGAAAGGACAGAGATCCGCACAGGCGGTTACGTGTGTCTCAGGGGCAAATGGGTTAAGGTTGTAACTCAAACGCAAATCGTTAGTTTCATAATTAGATTAGATTGTAGAATTGACAGGGAAATTCCAGAGCAAGAATCTGCTGATCATGGTGTCCGCCAGGCAGTCTTAAGTCTACCCTGCAAGCAGAGGTTTCTTTTTGGCATAGTTTTTAGCATTTGTAAAGTTGTTCACATGGCTTGTCAGTCACATAGTTGATTTGTTTGCGCTCCAAGAGAAACCTCTGCAGCAAGCCATCTGTAGTTTTCATAGTTAACTCGTTGTCTATAGAGATAATGATATAAATTTCATAGCCCTGCCAGGATTTGAACTTGCACCCCAACTTACTCCAGTGCAAATAGTGATGCCTCATACCACGGGACCACTGCGCAGTTTGTTTCTTAAAATTAATACAATTGAAGTATTTTTCTCTGCCATTCACATTGTTTGAACCGTGTGGAGCTGTATTTATCATGAATTCAAAGATGCATGTGATGAAAAATGGCTTACAGTGTAAACCATTTGCATTCACTCACCGGCTTTATATATATGTATGCCCACTTGATGAGCACACTGGTCTTCATCTTCGCTGCTCTCGCTGAAGGTCGGGTTGCCGTTTTTGTGTTTTAAAAATCTTTCATGGCAAAGATTTACTGCGGCTTGTCCAATCAGTCCCTGTTGTGTTTGCAGCCCACTGTTATTTGCCTCAGAAATACTTCGCAATTCACCAGGCGATTTGCCAACATACAGTAAACAGAGGATAAATAAAATTAGCCCTAGTTGGTGGCCATGTTGCCTGGAAACCCAAAATGCACGATGATGTCATGCTGAATGGCATCTTTAGGATTTGTTTATGGCTTGTTGCTAGGCAACTTCTGAAAGAAAGATTTATGACCAAAGAAAAAATCGCACTCCGCTTGCAATCCTCTTGCAACAAAATTATAAACTGGCCCCACGAGAATGATAAATAAACTAATAACTCTTGATGTAATCAATTAATGAATAAAAATAAGTCAATTATTAATCCTGCTTGTCAAAATGTTTTTTGGGGGCTAATTAACTGATTCTCGGAGTAGCATTATGCTAGCTTCACCTTGCCTTCAGGCAAGCTGTTAAACAGACTTTCTGAACACCCCAAGTCCTGTGGCCCATTTATCTAAAGTCCTGGTAACTTTAATCTAAAGAATAAAAGAGTGGATCCTAGCTAACAAACCAGTCCATTTTATTTTGTTCACTGATAGTTTATCATGTTATTTGTCAAAACTGTCTACAGATCTTGAATTTAAACAATAACAGCATACATTAATTATTGGGACTTTTGAGAAATAGGCCACTACTATTCTTTTAAGTAAACTCCATGTGCAGTCATTGTACATGATGCATTAAAATAATGCTAAGAATGATTGCATTTCTTACAAAGCTCTTTCCTTTCTTTGTCAGCAGATCCTGTACAATTCAACTCCAAAATCTGACAATGCACCTAAAGCTGGGACACCATGTATTGATGGTGAAAGATGCCTTCTTTGTCACAAAGAACGTTATGACAAGCTCAAGAAAGGTGTGAAAGCTGTTTGATTTTGTTATTTTCCTCTCTAAAAAGTGTTAAAAACAATATAAATTGTTCAAACAGAATAACAGTAAAGTTGCAATGTTTGTTTGACATTGCTGTATGTTGTTTTGTTTGGCAATATAATAGGATAGCTGCATTTATTATATGTATTAGGATAATGTTTAGGTAAATCAGCAATAAACCTGGAAATCAAGGAAAGTCATGGAATTCTACCCTAGCATTTTCCAAGATCATAAAGTTCTTGAGAAATGACCGCAGGTTGTTGGAAAGTCCTTGAGATGTGTGAAGAATGATCGTGGACATTTGGAGCTGATGATGTTTCACCACCCCAATCTAGGTAGTGCTTTTCATTGGTTGAAGCAAATTTCCCTTGTGGCATGACTATTCAGAAGCAATACCCAGATCTGGGTAGTGACACATCATTAGTAGGGAATTTCTGCTCTCGTTCATCAGGCGTCATTTCACAGGGAAACCAGATTATCAATTTCCTTGTTCTCCTAGTCCTAATTAACCGGAATAATTAGTGCTACGAGACAAAGTAAATTCAGAACCAACCTAGGCTGAAAAATTTTAACCTGAATTTAGTTTTGACCTGTAACATAGACAGAAGGTTATTACATGTCATCCCTTTGGCTCCTGCCAGTAAAACTGTGTTTTTATGATTTGTGTATACTGTAGGGTTGATGCCGTGGCATACAGCTGTGCATATGTAAAAATTCATGTATTGTCTCTTTAACCTCAGGTGAACTCAAGTCTCTATCTTGTAACTCAACTGAAACCCTAGTATCACAGGTGAGATTCTACATTTTATATCTTGTTTATAAAGCTCTCCAGGGGAGTTTCTGTACATGATTACTATTAACAAGTCAGTGAAATGCTTGTAGTAAAATTTCGTACAGCATCCTTCAGGGTTTTCCCTTATGTGCAAGTACGCATCAGAGACACTTTGTTTAGCCAAAAAAGAAAAAAAAAAGGACGCAAAACACCAAAGAGAACCGGTCCTCTCGGACGCACATGTTCTAGAGCAATAGTTTACTAATAATTAGTTTAGAACTGCGTAGATCTGCAAAAAATCTTTTTGAGAAAAAAATGTAAAGACTTTTGAATCTTTTTTCTTTTGTCTGACTCCTTTTTTTAAAACTAAAAAGAGCCATACTCACATTGAATGGTTCTTAAGCTTTTTTTGATGTTCCGATCAGGGAACCACATTGAAACTCCTTGCAGAGGCTTGGAAACTAATGTTTCATTGTGAGGCATTCTAGGACAGAAAGTGAGTTGAAAAAAACATGGCAGATTCTGAATCACAGCCTGGTTAAAAGAGTCTTCCTTTTCTAGGTCTTTGTTTTCTAGACCCCCCTACTTGTGTTTTAATGTAGTACATTTTTGTATTTACCCAGCAACTACAGCCTCCCCCAGTTTTTGGGTTAATGGTCAGCCACAGAATAATTCTAGGAATAAATGCGGGCAAGCAAAAGTGAGCCCACAGACTATTCTTGGTCAGCAGCAGTTTTTTTTTTATAAACATGTCATGTTTGTGCACACTTCCTAACCATCAGTTACTGCTAGTGCATAATTATTTATGGATTTTCCATTGCAATGGCAGTCTACAGTGTATGCATGTACATGTATATGCTATCCTACTGTAATCTGAGACTTACCATTCCAAATCAGCAGCAAGTATGTATGTATGTAGCTTTCTTAATTATGCTAGAGTGTTTTTTACATGTAGGTACCACTTTGGGTGTGTCCTGACTGCAGAAGAAACATTGAAGAAGAGGAGCGTCGTGCAGCTCTGGAACCTTCATCACCATCAAATTTCCAGGTGCACTATACCAGCCCTAAATTAATTTATTTCAAAAGACAACTTCCCTTTCATTTTTTTAGGAACTGTAAAAATCTATAGAGTACAATAAATCATGACAAAGTGTTTAAACAATATTATTATGAGTATTGTTATGATGATGATGATGGTTTTTGTTATTAATATCTCTATGTAACAATTATTATTGTATTGTATTAGCTTGAGGTAACACACTCATTTTCATCCTTCATTTTTGAGTGATCCTCATTAACTTTGAAGATCATGCAGCATCTTTAAGTATTAATACAGTGGAATTATTATGAATGTTGTCAAGTGTAAATACTGAGTTACAAAAGGGCACCTGATCTTGTTCACATTTGCAATGTGAGGTTTCTCGATGAACACTTTATATTACCGGTACTATTTTGTGCACTAGTCCACTGAATGTGTACTTGTATATGTATGTATTGTGTTATAACACAGTTTTGTTTTTAAACAACAGGATTTGAAGCAGAAACCAACCTTGAATCTCACCCTCTCTATAACTACTAAGCCTAATGGTCAGGAGGCAAAGTCTCATTGCCAGAGCTGTAACAGAAGGTATACATGTACATGTATATAAATTGTTGTTATTGTAGACATTTAGCTCAACTGAAGCATTCCCAGTGGTACATTTAAATGCTGAGTTTCCTTTTGGCACCCTTCACTGATAAAAAGTTCACCAAAGATACGTTGTAACACCTGTTTTAACACAGTCATTCTCATACAGTGCATAATTATGCCATCTCTCCCGGATTGTTCGGGAGTCTCCGGGATATGGCACTGATCTCCCTCTCTCTCGTACAGGTCACCAAATCTCTCAGATAAAAATAATGGACTTCTGCGCTTTTCTGTGCTTTAGTTTGAAAGTAAATCCATTTTTTTCTCAACATTTGATCTTTTTTTTATTCATTGTATGGTTTCCGGGACATTTTTGCGTGTATTTAGTCACTGACAAAGATTATTTCATCATTGCAACAATGAAAGCAAATTTTGATAGCATGTACTTCATAAGACTCCATATACGTGTAATGTTTTAAGCCATGGTGGTTGGGTCAATATTGTTGGGGGGAGGTGGAGTGGTGGGGTTGTTGACATTCAAGGGGGAGTGTAGTACCAAAAAAGAGACTCCAGATATTAGATCTCCAGAGGTTGGTATCTCTGCATTTTTGTGTTCTAAACTTATAACATTGTCATTTTGCCAACTCTACCGGATATTGTCGGAACCTCCTAGATACAAGTACATGTACTCTGGAAATTTCCCAGTCTCACTTGCCAATGTCCAAAAGTGACTTTTGAGCTTTTTAAAAAATACTTAAGTTTGAAATTTAGCTTATTGTCCCGTCAAATTCATAAATGTTTTTTATCATCAACGATTTCTGCCCTGTATTTGCACATACACTGTACATTGTATTAACCACTGATAAGACTTTGTCATGAAAGCAAATGCTGTTATGGTCTGTAAATTTTGTACCTCATGGAAAATGTCACAAGACGCTCCTATGTTATGATTTTGGGACTGGGATGAGGCTTGTGAGGGGGTTAGCATTAAGTAACATCGGCTGAAAGCAGATTGTTTCTTTCAGTAAAATTACATGTAGAACAACTTAAGTTCAACTTTACGGTGTAATATATATAAAAAACAGATACACCATAAACAGGACTTGAATGCTTTAAACTCGAGTCATTTGCTTCATAACCTACATGTACACCCATATCCACTACACCGTCGAGGGCTACATGTCAATACCTGCCAAATCCAGTAATTTTAAAATATTTATGTACCTTTGCCGTATCTTATATTTGAAAGCTAACCATTTTCAGTTCAGTGCTTAGCCCCAGTCACTGCAGATCAGTGTTTAACTCTCTCGTATGTTCTCTCCATAACTGGTGCTCTGCACTTTTCATTTAACAATTCCCTAGAAAGCAACGTTATTGTCATTTAAGGGTTGAAAAAGGTTTTATTTTTAATCATTTTTTTTTAAACATTTTTTGTATACAGTTGTGTGAAGCCAGATGTTATAAATGATTTGGCTAAGGAGAAGGAAAGGCAGCAACTGCGGGTTTGTTTTTGTCATTTTTATCATTCTACTCATAGTCCACAAGCCACTTGCAGAAGCAGCTCATGGTGAAAGAGCCATTTTAAAAAAATTTAAAGAAAAAAATTGATACTGTTTACAGATTGAATACACATCTTCTGCGAAGAGATGCCCCCCTTCAAATATGATAAATTATTTCCTCACCCTTGACCTAATTTAGGTGCCAGCCAAAAGTGATACTGCATAAATCAAAGAAATCTATTAATTTTTATTACATGTAGCTTTACCGTTCTATACATAGGAAATAATATTTTCCAAGCTTAACATTCACCAGATCATTGTGCATAAGCATATGCAGCTGTACCTCCACCCCCCTTCACTCTCTGTACCCTGTATGGACATTCCTATCTTAGCAATAATTATGTAGGGTGTTTGTCACATGAACCTAGTTTAGTGGCCTCAATTAGCTCCCAATTAATCTCCTGTGGCTTTATAATGTTAGAGGATCTGGACTACTAACCAGGATGGTTTGACTCCTAAGTACTCAGGTTATCTTCTTCCAAGCCAACCGTGTCTCTGAGTAAAAAAAAGTATCCTTCTCCACTAGGTTTAATTATATGTATAGATACATGTTTGTGTTAGTGGCAACTGCCATTGTTGCTGATAAGTCTTTTATTCTTGTTATTTTTCAGTGTTGTTGGGGTGAAGTACGGAACATTGTCCGTTGTATTTATAGGGAAGCAGGCACATCTTTGGCAGGTAAAAAGCAAGACAACGGTGTTTAACCTAGTCTTAGAGTCATGTGATGGAGAGAGAATTTGTCAGTTCCACCTTAAGTTAAATTAAAGGGTAAAATCATGTGGTGTTATGAATGGTTATCATTTAAACCGAAGCTCTTCAGCAGTTCTTTCATCTAGCACTATTAATATTACTCAGTTTGTAACTGTAGTTGTAACTTTTGTGCCTGTGGATGAAATCCTATGGTGTGACCATTCAATAACCACTGGAACCTCTTCATCAGTACTCTTGCATGGTACTATTATTGGTTGCATGTAGTACAATGTATGTACTACATAGTTCTAACTTTTGAGTCTGTGGATGGAATCCATTGGTATTACCATTCAAATGAAACCTTTTCAGCAGTACAATGTACTTTTGCATGATATGATTTTTTATTAAACAAGTTTGTGGACAAAATCCTGTAGTTTCACTATTCATTGACAAGTGAATCCTCTTCAACCATACTTTTTTCATAGTACCCATTTACATGTTATTATTTTTTCATCTGGAAGAAATTAACCCCTTGAGCAAAACTTTTGCACTGTACTGCATTGTATTTAGTTTTTAAGCGTTTATAAAACAAAATTTGACTTTTTAGAATTAACTGGTCACTATAAACAATTCAATGGCTAAAAAAACAAAAAACTGGGAGAGGTGTTTGAGCTGAAGGATAAAACTAGTTCTGATATTGGGAACAGAGGTATAAAACCATTTTTCGCAGGAGTATCCAACTTTTAAGCTGCAATGATAAATATTATTTTCATGATGTTCTTTTCATTTCAGATGAAGAGGAAACAGTCAGAAATTCTTTGGATGAGAACAGGCTCAGAGTCAAAGTAGATAAGTGAGTTCCATTTCTCCTTACATGTTCATCAAATTACTATGTAGGCCATCCAACCTTCTGTAAGAGGCCATGGAATTAACTTTTTTCCAGAAATCTTGTGACCTGTTAATAGAGAGCTTAAGCAAAGACAATGTTGAGCAACTCACATCAACTGGAAGTGTTTATTTTTTTCAGTTTTGGATGGTGGTTTTGCCTAAATTTTACAACAAATCAGTGTCTACAGTAGTAAAGACACATAGAAATACAAATTTGGTATCATCGAGGCCTGCTTTAAAATGAAAAGGACCTCACTTCCAATTGACATGCATTTCTCAAAAACCCCTTTGGTTAAGCTCCCTAATATTACATGTATTTCAAAGTGGTGGCCAATTCCCGAGTCGCAGTCATCTGGTTTTTTAACTTCAATATGAAAAATAATGATGCTAGGAGATTGCCTGCATGAGAAACATCAAGTCTGTATCGAAGTAATTTACTGTAAGGGGATGGTAGAAGGAGCCATAGCATCGTCTACAGCTGTATATTAAATCCTAGATGACAGTTAGTGATAGAGTTTTTTTCAGGGAACAAGTACTGATTTTCTTACGCAAACAAGGATACTTGGATGACCAATTTTATTTCAGATTTATCTTAACATGCTTTCATCTTTTCTTCTTTTTTTCGAGAATTTTAGTTACTTACCAAAATAATTGGCAGCTAATTTTAAGGAGGTTCAACTGTATTTTGATTTCCGCTGGCCCAGGATCGACAGTGCTATGATTTCCCTCGGAAATGTATAATAAAATATTTTTTTCTTCTTTAGGTTACTTAAGAGTGATCCAGCTCAGTTATTTGAAAAGCTTGAGATTCAAGCAAGGTACCTTGCCTACCCCATGTACATGTACAATATTATTGTGCTTTAGTCTGTCTGGCATCTTGAGAATAGCTTGCCTGTGGTTCATGATAATACGTGATCATTATTTTCTTATTTTTGATTTTTAAGAAAATTGTGCTTTTCGTTTACGTTTAGGCTGTTTCAATACTTGTTTGCCTCTAATAATTATGGTCCCTGTTTTCCCCGCAAAGGTTGAAATTGGGGCTTGTCACTAGTTTTTGAACCTTCCTATAATAATTTACAGTAATAATAACAATGTGTGTGAATCCACTGTTCATTACGTACAGCTGTATGCTTAAATCAAGAGATCAGTCTGAATTCAACAGCCGTTACTTACTCCCTCAGTAACGTCTGAATCGATCGTCCGGAAATCTCTAGATGGTACAGAATTGCTTCACTCTTTTTGATCGTAATTAATGTTTAACTTAATGCAATAATTTTTCATTTGTGGTTCAATTTAACAAGTCACAGTTTGGAAGAAGAGGGCAATTTTAAGATAAAGATTGTTGAAATTTTTGAGCTCCATGCAAGAATGCTATCCGCTGAATATTAAACGACAGTCTCGCTAAAATTTCTCTTAATTATACATAATTATTGGAATGGTTTGGACAATCAACCAATCCAAATCACTAAATCACTTTACCCGGTCGATTCATACGTTACTGTTCCAATACCGCAATACCGTAAGAAAAAATGGCAAATACCGAAATACCGCGTCGAAAATCGTCTAAATACCGATACCGCATATTTTAATCACATTCATAATCGGTTGCGCATACTTATGGGTGCTTCCATCTAGCGCGTTTAATTATCTCAGGCATTTATGCACCAGATGTCCATGTTTTTTAAATATTATTTTTAGTAGATGGCAAATTTTTGGCAAATTTTCACTTAAAATAACCTTTTGGTAGGTCCACCCAACAGCTAACTAACTCAATAAAAATAACTCTTGAAAGCCGGTCGATTTGGATGAGTCATAGTCTACAGTATCTCAGGGGTATCTGACTGGCGACTCGCAAGTGATGTCTCATTGTCATTGGATGCAACAACAATCACATCGTCGACCAGGGTTTAATCATTTACCGTTATGTCTCAAGACTTCTAAATATTAACCTTTATGTCCGTATTGTATCAAATGGTTCAACAATTTCAAATCGTCAAAAATATATTAATGTAATCCCCTTTGGGGGATGTCTGGAATTCAGGCTAGTCAAATGGTTCAACTTTCAAATCATCAATTTATTAATGTAATCTTGGGGGCGGGGCGGTAATCTTGATACTGGGGTGACTGTAATGAAGTCCATAAAAATTTATTTTTTTGCCACGGTTTTTTTGTTTTGTTTATAGTTATGTTTGTTTGCCAAGCAGATGATCACCAGTTTAGTCATTATGTTTTGAAGCATGCATAACAAACTTGAATTTTATCTTAATTCGTAGGGAATATGTGAGAGAAGTGAAAGTTCGTCTTGTCAAATACCTAACTTCCTGTCCTCTTTCGCCAACTCATGCGAAGGAATTTTTTACTATGTTGCTTGATGAATACCAAGCTCTTTCAAAAGCGTTTGACATCCTCAGACCATTCTTCTGCAAACTGGTAAGACTTTGTTTCAATGTTTTTCTACCCAGGGCGGGTAGTTCAAAGCTGGGTTAAGGTAACCCCAGGTTAATGTGTAATTTGAATTCAGATATGCAAGCTTGAAAAGCCAATTCATTTCAATTATTTTTGTCTGCAATTTCATAATTGGATGCTGTAAAAGATTAAAGAAAATTATCTGAGAAAAATGCTTTTCAATAAAAGGAAAAGAAACCTGAATGAAATGTAATAAACCTAGCTAAGCATTAATCGACGTTCGAACAACTGGGCCCAGTGTTTTAAAAGAGGCTAGATTTTACACTTGGTGAATAGTGAGAAAGATCAGTTATAATCATCCAGTCCTCAAAGGGATTGTTTTCTAGCAAATAAATTGCAAAATATGTACATGTATGTTAAGCGCCTTCTCTATATATCCCCTCTCCTGAATTTCATGTTTTTAATCGGCCATCTGACAAGATTGCTGCACGTATGGTGAACATTTCACAGTTTACAACAATACCTTAGGATTTTACATAAAAAGCTCATGTAATGTTGATTGTAGCCTGTGTAACTGTTAGTTTCGCTGGGGTGCAGAGGATAAAACTTCATCGCAATTTCTCTTTGGCTTTGTCGCAAATAAGTTTTCTTCAGCTCGACAAACAGAGTTGACATGTGAAAAACGCGTTTCATCAGGGAGACTGAAATCCTGTTCTAGGAGTGGACATCATTATCGCCTGCATTAACCTACAGCGTTGTACATTGCTGTCTCGGGGAAAATTGTATTTCAAGGCTGGTTTTCACTAGCGACTGAGTCGGAGTCGAAGTCGTACGATCTCGTGAAAACAGTGTTCTGATTCTTCTGATTCCGCTTACGACTCTGTCGTTTACGATCAAGTGAAAACTAGGTTGTCGGAGTCGCAAGCAGAAGCGGAAGAACTAAACCAATCACAAAGCGTGGGAACGTGCGTTGTGATTGGTTTATCCTTCCGCTTCTGCTTCCGACTCCGACAAGTCGGAAGAAAATGGAAACGTTCTGATTCTTCCGACTCCGATTCCGTCACCCTTATGACTCTGCTTACAACTCCGATTTTTGATTTTCACTAGGTCATAAGCGCTCTTACGACTCCGCTTACGAGTCCCACTCCGACTCGGACTCTGACTTCGTGGCTAGTGAAAACCAGCCTTTAAGGCTGGTTTTGTAGTCTCATTCGTAAGAGTGGTTCAACTCAACAACTTTTTTTATGTTGCTGAAATATTGCTGAACAAAATTTACATAAGCTCTCCTCTATGCCAAGCTCCCCTACCCCCTCCCCCAAGAGTGTGCACAGTGTATATGGCAACTTTTTTTCTTTGTTGACTTTAACAGGATTTGGAGCATTTGAGAGAGTTTGGTTTGAGTTGGGACCTTCTTCACAAACATCTTTTCTACACAGAAATATACAGAGACCCAGCAGTTTATGGTAATCTTCCAGGCTTAATCACACAATTAAGGTGTGTTATAATAATTAAAACTAATATGAGTTACATTGTAGTGTAATTGTCAGTGGTTTGATGCTTTCTGTTTTTGTCTTGTTTGTCTCAACATGTTTTGGCAAGTGACCTTCATTTGAAATAATGAAAGTTGTACCACACGATATAAAAAGACAGCACGATAAATGCACGCTGTTAAATTTACCGTGCCGGCGTGAAGGTATCAATATTCCAGAAAGAGCGTATTGTTTCAATTGATGGAGAATTTGGCATGTTTAAGACTCATCTTGATGTGATTTACGTGGTTTCGTGGCTTACTTCATGTGCGACCACCTTTCGCAAGTAGCACCTCTCATAAGAAACCACCTTTCCAGAACACCAAAATTTTGCCAATCAAATTCCTCAAGTTGGACCCTCACGTAAACGACCACCTCTTGTAAGTGGCCGCAAACACTTTTAAAGGTTAAGGTTTAATTATCCTTTGTTTTTAACCTCTGGTAAGCGACCGCTCGACTCCTTGTACGATTTGTTTGTACACTGAATTGTGATGGTAGGGTCACCCTCCTAGCCGGGCCAATTTTCTCCATAATTATGCAGTGTAAATTCTTTACACTGCGTATGGGAGTGCATATCTTACATATATTACAGATATCATACATGTCAATGCATAATTTGTATAACACTGCATATGGGACTGCATATTGCCTTGACGGGACAATTCCGTCAAGGCGACGCAATCAGATCGTGCGCGAGCGCTGTTTTGAGCCCTTGACTCAGGCAAAGGGGTCAATATATTTCTCATATAAACGCTTGCTTAAGTAGACTCGGCTAGGAGGTTGACCCTTTTTCCCGGGGCAACTTTTCTCCTTAATTATAAACAGGGCCTAAATCTTTGCATTTTGGGTGGTCACCTATGGAAGGTTTGACTAAACGGTAAATCCTCTATTAAGCGCCCCGCCTCTAAGAAGCCCTCCCCCACCCTTTTTAGGGGAAGAAATTAGCCGCCCACCCCCTAATTTTTCTTCAGTAATAAATGAGAGACTGTATTAATCAATCACGACTGTAAAACGTCGTGTGGACTGATCCGGGATGGTTTATTTTACCAACTGGAAGTTCGGATTTGATTCTGATCGTCGGCTGTATGACCTCAAGTCTTCTTGTACTTGAGCTTATCCACTCTGTGTTCTAGTTCTTTATGGAGAACTGATACCATCGTCTTTTCTAAATTAAGTAAGCCCCCCTCTCAAATAAGAACCCCGTCTCTATTTAAGCCCCCTCGCCCCTTTAAATGGGCTTGAAACAATAGAGGATTTACGGCAGTACCATTTAGTTGTGCCTTATCTTCTGTCGAAAATCCTGATTTTTGGTCCGGCGGGGATTTAAACCCAGGCCTACCACTCTTGTACCCAACCTATAGGCCATTTCTGAGTTCCAAAAACCCTTACTTTCAAAACTAGGCTAAGTGTAAAACGTTTCTTCTGAAAATGAGTTTTATTTGCATGGGACAAAAAAATGATTTTCATATCAATGGGTTCGCACTTAGCCTCGCACTGAAACAGAGGCTTGAAGCATCTCGAAAATTGACTATTGAGCTAACGAATCTGTTTTTGGATTTCAGATTGGGTGCGGTGGCGAGAGAGAACTTTCAACAAGATATATTTCCAAGCTTACTGCACAGGTACATGCATTGAACTTTCTTATGAGTATTAAAGGGGTTGTTTCAAGAAATTATGCCAATTCAGATTGTGAAAACTGGCCACCAAATTCAGCCTAACTTAAAATAAACACTTCAAATAGTGAAAGAACTTTTAAATAACACAGCAAATACAAAATAAGTCACGGATGGACAAAACGTAACAAGATTAAAATGGATTGCAAGTGTTGTTTTTGAAAGCTGTTCAGGCTAACAGTTTCAATGTTCATCTTTGTTGTTTGTAAATTTCAAAAATATCGTTCGGGAGATATATTTGTTTGTCACTAAGCTGCTAATTTATTCAATTAATGTTAAGTTTCATAACGAGCAAGCTCCTTCAAGTCATTACTTTACTTGTTCATTACTCCGAGTGCCTTTCTATTTTACTGTTTCTTCATCAGTACATGCAGTCACATTTGTTCACAGGTCTTCCTTCTTTTAATATTTTGCTAATATATGTTCGCAAGGGTTTGCGGTATTCTGAATCACCTACCCCAAATTTACAATATTCATTATGTTTTTCTTTCTTTGTTGTTTTTGTTTTGTGTTTTGTTTATTCCTTCCTTTTTTTTTTTTTTTTTTTTTTCCAAGATACCTTAGTTTCACCGATGATCTGACAGAAATAGAATTTTCGTGGAAGGAAAGTGAACAAGCTTTCAAACATTATAAAGAAAAACAGGTAAGGAATGTGGAGGTATGTGGTGGTAATAATATTATAGTCGACTCCTCTAATTGTGGACACCCTCAATACAGCGAGTTTATCTCCGTTGTAGCGAGAGTCGTCAAAATCCGGCGGATGCAACGAGAAATTTCAGTTCCTTCCACTGTGGCTAGCGGTTTGCATCCTGGAGGCAACGACGTATGCATTTATATGCAGTTAAATGGGGTAAACAACAAAGAGCGCCGTTAATGTTTGGGGTCAGTGGTCGGTGTGTATGTGCATGCGCATTAACTTGCTACATCCTTCATGCGCGCGATGAATGACTCAGACAGCTCTGATATTCACTTCGATTGGAGGGTTAAGCTGTGAAATGCATCTTCACTGCTTTCATTCAGCGGTCATAGTGAACCCGAAACTGGAGCAATGTTAGTTCTCGTCCTTGCTCCGACAGGTTTATCTCCAGCAACTTCGGTTTTCCGCCGCTCTCTCCAAAAACGCACAAACACTAATAACAACAAGATCTTACGAGCTCCTTACTTTTTTTTTTTTTTTTTTTTTTTTACATTTTTTTCCTCTTTTACTACATGTCGTAGCGGTTTGTTTATCCACAGTGAGAATGTTATGTAACCTCCAATTTGTAGGCAAAACTGCGTGAAAAAAGTGGCATACCAAAAGTGGAATGGGAGGATGATTTAACAGGGATGGAGTGGAAAAATAGGGTAGGTCTTTTTTGTATAATTAGGGAGCTTAACCAAGGCGTTTTTGAGAGACGGGCGTCAACCGGAAGTGAGGATTTTTCCCTTTTAATACGCCTTGACGCTGTAAAATTTGTATTGCTTAATTTCTTTACACTTGTAGAGATGATTTGACTGAAAAGCTTGGCAACACCACTGCTCGGGAATGTAAAAAGTCCACTTCCGGTTGACGTACGTCACTCAAAAACGCGTTCGCTTAACTTCCCTTTGGTGGTGATCGCAGCGAAAACAATTAAGAGAAACACTGTCAACAATTACAAAATTAATATTTTCTTTTCCTTTTTGTGTTGTAGGTATTAAGGAAGCCAATACAGCAAAGGTAAGTTAGGGAATTTGTTTTCTCTTACAGCTTGTGTTTTGTAGACCGTAGACCACTCTACAGTCATATTGCGACAGTGTTACTACCCTGTCCTAACAAGAAGTAAAGTAAAAAAGAACCAACCGATTTCAGAAGAAATGCTGTGGCTCTTGCTAACCGCAGGAAAACGCAAGCGTGCAAGTCAAGATAAAAGTGGCGCGACATTTTACAACTTAATACAAGACATAACATTATTAAGAGTGGCCAAGTGGGCTGCATGTCCCACTCTCAGCGCGGCAGGCCGCGCTCAATTGCCGTCCTGACAACAAGATGGGTTTGTTTTGGTTATCTCATTTTTTTTAATCTTTGTCCAAGCTTGAAATTAGCCAACTGGTTGCCTCCTGCCAGTTGTGGTTTTTTATCCTGTTTTTTCGTTGTTGTTGTTGTTGTTGTTGTTTGCCGGATTATTCTTCGATATTAGAGTGGATTGCTTTTAAACTACGGTAGCTACAGCAGCGGAGTGCACTTGCACTCAAAAAGAGTCTTTACTGTTGATTTATAAGGCTTAACAATGGCAAGCTAGAAGAATCGCGAAGTTAGTGTCAAACTGCTAAATTATTTTTAATTTGGGTGGCGCGCAAATAAAGTTTTCGTCATTGTGAGATTGGCCTCAGGGTTTTCAGTGGACAGGGCGCTCTGATCATATTGTTTGTCAACGGCGAGAATCAGATGATTTTGCAAATTATGTTTTGTGAATTTAATGTTTGTTGCAATAGTTTTTGAGGTCGTTATTGTTGGTCAGGAAATTAAAGTTGACAGGACTTGACCGCCACGCGCCCTTACTAGATCCTACTAGAAACCTGTGGTAAAAATTCTCTTTTGTGACTTGCATAGCACTTCTTAGCCTTAATATTCTTATTTGTTTACTTTTACGTTTTCCGTGTCAGACATGCACTCCCCCCAAATGAACGCTTTCAAGGCGTCTTTTGTTGATCAATCTTTTTTTTCGTTTATAGGTGCCAGTGTGGCCACTGTAATGTCCCCTCCTCACCATTAAATTCACCAGTCACGTCGCTACCACCTTTTAAACCAGGAACTTCACATTCAAAGGTATGCAACTACAGTTCTTCGTCACCTGCACGAAATAACTCACATGGACAACTGACAGCACAGTGGACGAACCCGGTGACGGGTCCAAACTTTGATCCTCATCTGTTGATATGTAATGACCTTCATGGTATTCCTTCCTCACAGCTGCTTCCGCCTGCTCTGATGATGAATGGTCTGGGAAACACTTGTCACTGTCCTGCTTGTAGCGGTGGAACAACAGGGTATAGAGAAGGGGCAAAGATTACAGAGCAGGTACTCTTGGTTTGATACTGTTCCGTATTTGAGGGCATCTGTCATTACCGTTAATCCTCTTATAAGCTCCGCAGGGGACTTATGTATTTCAAGTACATTTGAGGGGCGCTCATTTAATTTAGTGTAAAGGGGCGCTGTGGTGTTCGTTCAAGCAAACCGAAGATGGTATCAATTCTCCACAAAGAACTAGAACGCTATAAGTGGAAAAACGTAAAACCGTGAAGTTGCAGGTCGTGCAGGCGAAGTTCGGAGGCTGTTATCCACCTCGGTCTTTGGCCTTGGTGGATGACATTCTCCTCGATCTGCATCATTCTTCGCATCATACTCTGCCTAATTCAATATTTGTTAATTGAGTACTGGAGTCTTTCATTTATTGATTTAGTTGTGAAGGATAAGGGGAAGATCACGACAAAACATACGTCACTTGCACATCTCCCACAATGCACCTTATTTGCCCCCCAGAATTTTGCATAGCCGTTGTTTTTCGTTTCTTCTGGGTATTACAGCCGTCCTTAGAGAAATTGAAAACAATGCTTGTGCAGAATTTTGGGGTGCAAATAAGGTGCATTATGGGAGATGTGAGGGTGTCGTATGCAAGTAAGCCCTGTCCCGTTTGTCACGCACAATTGTTTTGTCATCCTGTTATAATAAATTAAAGACGCCTCAATAACAGCATATATTTATTCTTCTTTCAGCCTCCGAGTGGCATGATAGTTGGCTGCCAGTGTAGTAAATGCCCCTTTCACGGCACAAAGGACCAAGAAACCAGATTAAAGAGTGATAGCAAGAACTTCACCAACCACGCATCCCCTGCGGTCCATGTACCCACTCCTAACAACAATCACATTCACAGCAATCACTGCCATCCACAACACATTGTACCTCCTCCCCCGACACCTCTTCACTGTCCCTTAGAGGACCCCCCTCAGGACCTCAGTGGCCTTCTACTGGACAGCAGCCTCAGGCAAATCAATTATAATGGTTACCATAACAACTTAGATGGTTGCGCGGAGGTTGATGGTGGAGAAAACAGCTTGAGTGACAGTAACAGCGAATATGAAGATGACGACGAAGACGATGACGATGATGATGATGACGAAGAGGAGGAGGATGATGGCAGTAGTTGCTCCCCGCGGAGAACAAGCCAGTGTTCAGGTACCTGACTGTCTACGTAGTCTTGACCTCGGAATACAACCGTCTCTCATCACTCCTCCTCAGTCTCTCGTGTTTCATCCTCTCGCCTCTTTTAGAAACGTGAATATTACTGAGGAGAGTTAGCATTCGCAAAGATTTCTGGGGACGCTTCAGTCAGCCAAATTGTTTTCTCTGTCCCCAGAAACAGTGCCAGAAGTCTTCGCGAAATTTAACTTTTCCCAGTTTCCTTTTCGTTTCTGAAGTTTTTTTTTTTGTAATTTAATAGCTGTTATCAATTTTTCACACTTAAATAGTGAATACAAAACAAAAACACTGCAAAAAGTTAACAAATTATTTTTAAAAAACGCTACAAAACACCAAGTATTCAAACAAATTTCGATTTACGTTATTGAGATTACAACCACACAAAAGAATACAAATTAACATAGAAAAATTCACAATGCCGTGAACAAGAGAAAAGGAAAAAAAGAACAGCAATGGCCGAGACATTAGTGTTACATGTAAACTTTCATAAATTATAAACTTACGTTAAGTGAGACGCATATGCGGGACACCTCTTCTACGAGCTTACAAATGGCAAGAAATTCTTCCATTTCTTAAAATGTGTGGTTAGTTTGTTCCGCCTGTTCGCTATTGTCTTTTCTACGTGGTAAAGTCGTTTCTCAAGTGGCAAATAGAGATATTTCGGCTCTATTCGCAGGCTAAGATCAAAGCTGTCATTAAGCGTTGTAATCGTAACGCCTGTTGCAGTTGTACTCATATGATGTTACTTTTTTCAAAGTGGAAAGCTAAAGGAGACAGTGAAGATACTTTGTGAAAAGTTCCAGGTGAAACTTCACTAATTACAGCTGCTGAAAAAACTGAACGAAAGCCTTGAAGATAGTGTGCAAATGATGTCACATCTTCAATTCCGCACCTCTTTTAAATTCAATCACAAAAATCATTCCCTAAAAATGATATCTGTTGTTCGTAGGAGAAACATCCAACAAAAGTAAAACAAACCTCAAGCAATTTTTTTTTCACACACTGTTACAGAACTGTACTGACTACTTAAAACCTTGTAGATCGTCCAACCAGGTGATATATCTCGGCTTCGTTTTTTGCAGACGTTGATGGACTGGGGCTTGATGTGCCACCCGGGTCTCCCTCGAGTGTGCGCAGTAGTGGAGATGGCAGCTCATGTGACACTCCACCTGTCAATCAATGTTCGTCATCAACAGATGATGGTAGAACAGACCGCGGCAAATACTGTGATTGTTGCTACTGTGAATTTTTTGGCCACGCTGCAGTAAGTAACTGCTAATTGATTGTCTCCAATGTAACCCTCTGATGGATCACATCTCTTGTTATATAGCGGGAAATGTTTTTTCCCAGCAGCGTGCGGTCTCGTAGGTTACTTCCATCAAGGTCACGCCGCACATGACAATTTGAATCAACCTTTCTCTTACCAAAAGTCCCTGAGCGGGCAACACTGCAAAATCTGTGATGTCAGAGGGTTACAGTGCTGTGACAAATCACTTTCGTCTGTTCAACACAAACTGCTTATTGTGGGGACTTTCCTCGTTGAATGGTTGTTATCTTATGTCTTTTAGCCTCCTGTAGCACCCACCAGTCACAACTACACAGAGATGCGCGATAAGTTAAGAAGTCGACTCAATAAGCGACAGGTGAGATTATATATAGAGCCCTGAACTTCATCGAGATGTTGGAATGTTATAAAATGCTGATAAGACACTGCCAGTAAATATCCTAATCAGGGTGCAAAGAAAGTAATTTTTACAGCTTGCTATTCGGGCAAGCTGAAGTTAGCATTTACTAGCCCAAACGTCATTTCAACTAGCCCCCAAAATTTTTGGATGAGCAGAATTGATTTCACAGTTCTTCTGTAAGATGAATTCTGCAAAATACTTCACTTACCCGTCGGTCAAGTTAAGAACATAATTCACTAGCCCGATAGCAAAACCCACTAGCCCCGGGCTATCGAACACTACTTTCTTTGCACGCTGCTGACCCCCTCACTTTCCAGTGGCGTTGCACCTCCTCTAGGGATCTAATGAAATCATTAGATCCCTATGTGTTGCAGCTCTTTTCTTTTTGGGCCAAGTTCCATTGTTCGCTTAGTTTGTTCATTGGTTGCCTAGCAAATCCTGTGAAGCCTTATTACGGCTGCGAGTACATCTCACTTTCAAATCAAGACTGCAGAAGTCTGACTTCAAGAAAAATCAAGTTTCATTTTAACTCGTGGAAATCAGAATGATAGTAAAAAGAACAAGTGATTCCAAGCTATAGCTGCTCCTTGAGGTTTCGTTCAAATGGACACAACAAAGGTTTTCCTGAACAGACTGAACAGTTTAAACTACCGTCGAACCTCTGTCAACAGCTACCAGTTCACAACGGCTACTTGTTAACGCGTGAATACGCGAAGCGTAGAAACGACTTTTTGCAGGCACTCCAATATGCATAAGGGTCACTCTCTCATTCAGATCTACATTGATGCTCTTCATTATTAGTCGGCCCCGAACTCGAGAGCGCCAATATCTCAATGTTTATCGTCGTAGATCGATCTTTTCCGAAGTCCGCTGTGATAAAGTTCACTCGGCACGCATTAGGCCCAGAGTTCGTTGGAGCTGACATTGCAGTGGTTTTGTAGTTTCAGGGCGATTAGGCGTCTTCAATGGACTTTGAAATGTTTCAATTAAGCACCAGGGCAAACCTAGAGACTGTATTTCTGTGCCTTTTGACTTGACTCTCTAATTGTCGTTTTCCGCGAGTTAGCCACAGGCCTTCGTTGATTTGTCTCGGCGGAAAGTCATCACAGTCATTAATGATAACAGTGTGTTTTGTTGCAGCCCAACCAGGCGGTACAAGAAGACAAGAAAAACGCGCCTGTGGTTGATCACCGGTCAGTGGATGACCTCCTGACATTCATCAATGGGCAAGGCGTAGAAGACGAGGGGGCGCGGTCAAAATCTAAAGCGCAGAAAAGAGCGCGACAGAAACAAAAAAAGGTATAGTTACTTTTGCTTTCCTATTAAATTTACATTTATATTTTAATTGACGTTGAAAGGATTATTTATGTGCCACGGTTTGTGTTCGGCTTGGTTCGATGGAGATTAGCGTCAACACGAGAACGCGAGGAAACCTAGTTAACTTTCGCAAAGACTTCTTGAACTGTTACGATGGACAGGGAAAAAATTGCCAATAGTATTTATTTATTTATGTATTTTTCTGTGTGTGTATGTATTTATTTATTTTTTTATTTACCATGTACAGCCTACCCCTCACATTTTGAGGATTATTGGTATGGTTAACAGTAACAGTAACATTCCAGAAACCAGCATTTGCGGGACACATTTTGGCTTTTCGTTTCCAAACTGGCGAACTTGGGTAATTTTCTCTTTATGTTTTTAGGCAGCAGAAAAAGAAAAGCAGGCCCTGAACTCGAACTATCAAAACGGTGGTAAATGTTCTTCCGCGGGTTGCGAGAAGATCAACGGTGTTCATCATGAAGGTTCCGAGAAGAAGATAAGGAACAGGCAGCTGAGTGAAGATACTCGGAAACGAGAAATGCCTGCATTGAACGATAAAAACTGCGAGGAAGGAAAGCGGGCACAGCGGAGGAAAATGGAGGAGCCTAAGCAAAAGCAAAGGGAGGACTTAAACGAGTGTTCCAAGTCACGCAAGAAGCAGAGTCAGTCCCGACAAAACATCACGGTGTCACGCCAGGATTCAAAAGAGATTAACGGCAAGGAAAATAATCTCGGCCCGCAGCGACAGGCTGGGGAAAAACCGGAGAAACAGCGACAGGATTCGTTATCCCAAGTCCCGATTCCTGTGGAGATTTGCAAGGAGGATGCCCAAGATAAGTCGGATAGCAGCAGCCGGTCACAGCAGAAAAAACAGGGGAAGAAAAAGAAGAAAATGTCGCTAGGTAAATGTGGAGCTTAAGACCTTGAATGGCGTCATCGCTATTTATAGAGCATAATAGAAAGCATTGTACTAGAGAGTTTCTAAATAGCTTTTATTTTATTTTATTATTACTCTTTCAAGAATTATTACACTTTCAGGAAAGTGCGGCTCAGTAGCTTTCACTGTATATTATTCAGTATGAATGCTGTGCTGTAAATAAGAACATTGCTTCTGAAAATATTAGCAAATTATATTTCGTATTTGTTCACATCCTGTATTTCCCCCTTTTAGATGACGTTTTCTTGCCCCGTGAAGACATTGAGGTAGGTTTTTTTTTTCTTTCATTCCACTTTGTCATCTTTTTGTTGTGTCTACTTTAGTTTTAGATCACCCCGCTAGCAGAGCGTTCGTTTAAAGCTGGTCCCGAATATTCTGGTCCGACTTAACCGAAATGGACCGTTCCATTTGATGTACCAACCGAATTGTCCGGAATTTTGGGTTGAGCGGAAAGCGCCCAAGTTTTGACCTTCGATCAGAAGCCTGAAACTCGCGCTCTCCCGCACAGGCACTCCCTAACGGGTGGTTACTACTAGTATATATAGTATATTGGCTTTTTAGGGGTAATATAAATACTGGTAACCCAGTAGTTTCTACTGTGGCCCACAAATAAGACCAGAAACACAAAAATAAAAACACTTTGGAAACATTTGGAAATAAACATAACAAACTGGGGGCGTTAAGAAGCCCAACTGTCCCGAGGCAAACCAGTTGGCTATTTACAAGCGTGACTGACGAGTTAACCTCGAGGCCCTCCAGAACAACTCCAGCTAGTGGTTTAAAGGGGCGGGGGGATTGTACTCAGGGCCTCTGGATTGCAATTCCAGCCCTTTAACTGCGCGACCTCGCTGCCTCCTTAGGTGACCTTTGATGCACTAACATAATTCCTGATCGAGATCATTCCAAATGAGCACACTCTTTCCTCCCTTTAATCATAGCCATAACAAAATTCTCAACTCTGATTGGCTATCTATTGTACTGATTTCAGCACTAATAGGACAGTACGCGCCATCATGCGCGCGCTTAAATGGTTTTTTTCTTCCCTGCTAGCAAAAAACTCTCGGAATTTCTTGTGCTTTGATTTTAAAAAAACTGAAATATATAGGTATGAATAGGTAACAGAATAGGTAACAGAACTTCGTGTCGTCCAATTCGGTCCGTAATCATACTCGTAATAAACAAATCGGACGACCGCGTAATTTGTTTATCACTCCGTCTCGTATGATTACAGACCGAATTGGACTCCACTCAGTCCTATTACCATTATTAATGGCGAATTATTAAGGACCGAGATCGGTCTGATATGTCATTTATTTTTTTTGTAGACTGACAAGCTTACTCAAATGGATGAAGCCGAGCGTGAATTGGAGGAGTTCAAAAGGTATGGAAGCTCAGAAAAGTCGTTTTAATAGTCAATATTGACGCGTTCGTTTGGGATGCTTAAGATACATGGCCCACTGTCTATGCTGTGGTTACTGTCGTGCCTGGACATCCTTTGTGCTTCTCGTGTATTGTCGTTTATCTAGTTTACAGATTTTGCTCTTTTAGGAAAAAATAGAGTGTGTCTGCTAACCGTTATCGTTTTGCTTCAGGTTTTGCATGAATCTAACACCACTGGAGAGAAGGGAACGTATTCCAGTAAATGTCAACCTGAAGGGGCTCCTGAGCGGCAAGAAAAATGGTTCCTCGTAGATAATGCTCCACACTCTACCTCAGCCCCTGATCAAAGTGGCCCACCAGGCCCGTTGATCCAGTTTTACCCGATGACCTATTTGACTAGACGAGTCACTTAAAAAGCAGCGTAAAGAAGGCAGCAGACGAAGTTTTCATTTCAATTTAATCAAATGCACAGAGAATTATATTACCAAATAAAATGTCTATTTAGTTTCGTGAAGAATTCCACGTATCATAGTCGTAATTAGTATAATATTATTCTTTTTTAAAAAAAAAAAATACTATTTTTTATCCCTGTTTACGTAACACTCAAAATCTTTCTTCCATAATCGAAATCGAATCGGAAGTTCTTTCGAAGATGACGATGACGATGACGCCATTTTACCGCTACGACCAGAATCCTTTTAGTTGATCAAAGCCCTAATTTGCATACGAGAGCAAACCGCTAAAGGATTCTGGTCGTAGTAGTAAAATGACGTCATCGTGCAAATGGCTTACTGCATTGAAATATGATTTGGTATTATGTGAAGGCTGGATTACCAACCGCTGTTCGGGAAATGAACCCGCGCTCCCGAGAGAGCGACAGCGGAAATCGAGCCTATATTATCTATTATGCGAGTCAAATAAACGAAGACTCGTATATTATTTTGACAGGTCAATTATATACTGACCAATCATCGTTAAGTTCAGGAAACTTAAGCAAACCTTTGTAGTTTTCTATCGCTGGATTGGCCTTTTTCTTTACAACACACTATCATTCCAGAAATATTTTCTGGTGTTTCCGTTTTATGAGTGTCACTGTAATGGTGTATTACAAGAGAGGATAAAGCTTCATCCTCTCTTGTGTATAATTTCCTTGAACAAACAGAAAAAAAGGTGATTTGTTGTCAGATTAAACATCCGATACCAGTAATTGGCACTTTGAGAGCAGATTTTTCGAGATTTGTTTTTTCCTTTTGTCGTGAAGAGACTCATTTTAAGATGGCGTATCAGGTTTTCGCTTTAAAAAGAAACTTTCGACCTTCCTAAGGTTATCCGTTACAACAGGTATGCGACGTATAGATCTGAAAGAAAACGGTTTGCTCCTCACTGTCTAATTTTCTCATTCACATGTATTTCTCTTTGTTTGTTGCAAATCGCAAGCGTGACTGGTGTGGGTACTGAGTTCAAGCAATTTCAGGGTTCGTCTTATAACCTACAGAATTTTATTGCGAATTGACAGTTTAGTGTGACGTGGATCTTTTCTCAAAGGTAGTCTCCTCAACATTTTTTTACTTAATATTACGGTAAAGAACAGAAGCAATGGAATTGAACTACTAGAGAAAAACGCTAGAATACCGGACCACGTGAGAGCTAGTCAATTAGTAGGTGTCGACAATGTTTCAAGTCGTTTATTAAGACATCTGTGCTGGCAACCTCGTTCCCAGGGTCTCTCATGAACGACGTGGCTGGATTGACTCCTTATATTGATTTCGCAGTCTATTTACAAAGAGATCTGCGGAGTTGTATTTACAAAGAAGAATGTCGGTTGGTCAGAAAGTTGTCAGAGAATGTGCTTGCCAAGATTCTGTGGCCACTTTTCAAGCCGGATAATGTCTCGAATGCCATTAACTCCCTTTTAGCAAAAGTAGATATTTCTTAGTTATTGCCATTCAGTCACGAGTTCTTTTCAAAAAATTTCAGGCTCCTAGAAACCGAACAACGTAAGGTCCGCAGGACCCTCGAATTTTTATTTACTTTATCGATTTTTTTTTGGTGAAAAACAATACCTTAAACATCGGCACTCGCAAGCTAGCACTTACAAGGAGCCTGTTGCTCCTGACCTAAATTGTCCATACAGTATATGGCAGTACCCACCCACCCCCCACCCCTCGCCCCTTTGGCCTGGGCACAACAGCATGAATGTCATGTGTGCATGTGAGTGCAGAAGTCTCTTATCCGTCTCATCTGCCATATCTTTGTGGGCAACAAAACAGCCCGAAATTTTGAGTTGGTCAAGAACGGTTTGGTTTTGCCGTCTATGTGCAAAAAAATTTGACTAGTTTCTCTTCCCCTAGATTACGTCGGTAAAGTATTCAACTGCACCTCCCTGCCCCGAAACAAAATGGTCGCTCACTCAGCAGGCGATGTAATCGACCCTCCCGGTTTGATAAACAAATAAACAAGGAGACCTCGGTTTCGAAATAGTTCAGCGTTGTGTTACAATTCCTTACTGTCGTTACTGCAACCGGCTTCGAGCGGCTTCAGAGGAAGGCCTCATCACAGAATGGTTTCCGTACGGTTCAAGAAGCGAGTCACTTTCGTCTTGTTCGTCAGCATTTTTGTGCTAGTATGCTTTTACAAGATCCAGCGGTGGGGCAATGATCACTCGAGTCGGGCCGCCGAACAAACCAAACATTTCTCAAGGTCAGTTCCTCTTTTTTAGTTGTCACGTACAGTTTTGAATTGCGCCTGTAATTAGACTTCAAGTAGTCCTCCATTTTTCCTCAGCGTGGGGTGATTTTCACGCGCGCTCTCGTTTCGCTCGCTCTACTATCCCTGAGGAAAAATGGGGGACTAGTCGTAGTCTACCTGTAATAAACATAGCGAAAATATCAGTGTAGGGAATTTTAAATTACTTGTGTACTGAATATAATAGCGCAGTAGATCTTACTGATTGCCTCAGAGGGGATCGGCTGTGGCTATAGGGATGGCCGGTAACTGGTCAAAGGTTTTCAAAACACTAAATGACAGGCGGTCCTGTCTTTTCTGTAAATCGCTTAACTTTTCTTAATCGACTTATGATAGTTTAGATTAGCTGGTTTTTTCGATTTGTGAACAGTTACAGAAAAGACAGGATCAGATTGCCGGTCATTTAGTGTTTTGAAATTTTTGAAAACCTTGACCGGTTACCGGATATAGCCACAGCGTTATAGCTAATATTAAAGAACCTGTGTTTGAAAACCTGCTGTGTAAGTTTCTTTATAGCTCTGAAAGTCAACATCTATATCTCCTTCATAGAAATTAAGAACCTAATTGGCCTAAAATTGCCAATAGCTACCCCAAAATATAAAGAAACTTTCAGTATTGCCACTTCACTTATTAGCGGGTTTTATCGGTACAAGCGCATATGTTACGAAACAAGAAATAGAATCCAAAGGTTCATACCGATGGAGTTTTGAGGCACCATTTCCAGAATTGTTTAGCCATTTCAGAGTACAAAATTAATTTCCCAAACAGCTCTTTCATCTTTCATTTTACAATTTCAGTTCGCCCTTGTGGAAAAGAGGAAAAATTTGTTGCGTTTCCGGTGAGTAATCGTCACCTTCTCACAAGCTCGCTTAATCGGGGTACTCGAATATCACTGAAACATCATACAGAATCTTGACACTTAGATTTATTTCACGAGTTTTGCTTATCGCCTTAACTGCAGAATACCCTGCCACTTAAAGCAACCCCCCAAAAATAGGTGGATACGTGGATACTCAGTTACTTCATATCCGCGTATCCACTTTGTCACTCCGTATCCGCGTATCCACGAGGTAAATATAATTTACAATAGTTACTGCGTATCTGTGTATCGGCGTATCCTCGACTTTTGTCATTTAAAACCAATTATTTATAACCTATCCACTTTCTACAAAGCCCTGTTTCCAGTTTCTGCTGGTTGGGGTGACGTTCTGGGATTTATAATGATCATTATGGTATTGGTAATCGGTAAAATCGATAGAGAAATATTTAGCACCGAACCAGTCGATAATTAACCATTTTTCATTTATCCTTGACTTTCTCAAAGCCGGTTTCCGGTTTCTGCCGGTTGGGTGGTCAGCAGCCTCTCAGAGCCCCTACCCCCATTATAGTCTATTCTACGACCAGTTTCTTATAGACCCCATCTTAGTCACTTTTGTAGAAATATGTAATTTTGGTGATCCCAACTTAGTCACTCTCTATTTTTTTATGAAATGACCCATTTTTTAGATTGAGTGAAGAACACTTTACTTTTCCTCTACAGTGCCAACATTCTGGTACGTTTGCTAACCATAAATATGAAGAACTGTCTTACCCCAAAAATGTGCGACCCCATTCTAGTAACTATTGAAAATGCGACCCCATTATAGTCAATCCAGTCATGCAAATGCAAACCCATCCAGCGGCGCATCCCCATAAGCCTCTTATAAGGAGGTACCCCTCCCCCGGGTGGTCAGTCACTCGCGACTTCGTCGGTCCCTTTCGCTCGCACCTTCGGCGCTCACAAAGTGGACCCGGACTTGTGGCAAGTCTTCATTTATCCTTATCGATTCAGTTAATTATCGATTTTAAGTTATCGATTTTAATTATCGGCGCTAATGAAAGCACCGTTAGTGATTGGTACATTTTGAAACTCACTTAAGGTTGGACGACGATTTCGATAGCTCACCGTTTGTGTAAGAAGCTGTACATGTTTCTCAATGACCCGGGGAGGGAGAGTCTTTTAGCCCTCTTGGGTCCTTTTAAAGACGGAAAAGACAAATTTCCCTACCCTTTTATATACTCCAGCTATTAGTGAAATCTGTACCCTTGTATGATCAAGAACCCTAATGTTATAATACAGTGGAAGTTCCCACGAGCGGACACCATCAGGTGTCCGTAACTGGCGCTAGCCGCATACGAGTTGAGAAAACGTGGTTTTGAGAACACGGCCGTAATGAGAGCTGCCCGCTTCCGCAAGTGTCCGTTTCAACTGTATACCTTATCCTTGAGCCTGAAAAATGTGCCCCTTTCGGGCGGAGTCTCTTCGTATAGGCCATTATGGGGAGTATCCCCTCCCCCCGTGCTCAGGGATCCCCTCTAGGGCTGATTGGCTGTTGTTTTGTCCGATCATATCTTGTAACTTACGATCAGGCGTTCGAACGAGAGTTAAATGCGGAAAAGCTTCAAAAGGGTGCAGTTGCCTATAGATGTAACTTCGCTTTAACTTCTTTCAGATACTTTTTCAAAACTAAATGTGTTGTTTTACCCCGATTTTGCAACACGCGAAAGTCGTAACTTTTGCCTGGAGAATAAAGGCCTTAGAGCACAAAAGGTGATTACAACATACGAAGAGCTGCTGTGAAAAGAAATTCTGAAAATATCAATTCCTAATTGCGGACTTTTGCGATAACAGTGCCACGCTCTACCAACTGAACTAACAAGCCTACTGAGAGCTGGTCATTTAGTTGGTTTATTTGATGTACAGTGCTGCACTGATGCCGCAGAGTTCAAGGGTCGGCATATCATCCCGTACAAGCCTGAATTTTTCAAGCTTTCTTTTGTGACTACAAAAGTTTCATCTACAACTGCGATGATCTTCTAAAAGATTACATCACCAAACTGATAAAAACCAAAACGGAAATTTAATCAAGAAAACGTACTTATGCAACTAAATTTCTTGCTACCACCCTTACGAAAGGGAGAAAGGGAAGCGACAATAGCCCCGCTAATTTCGTCTCAAAATTTTAAGCTTCTTTTAACATAAAAAAAATATGTTATTATCATTCATGTGTCTACTCTCTAGCTTAAGCTAAACCTTACTGATTCAGAACAGTAAAAATAAAACAATTTTATTCATAGTTTTATATTCTTGATCCTGCTTCGTGTCATTGTTTTTTCTAGTATTATTGACCGAGGGAGATCCACTCCGTTGATGAACCCAGATGATGAAGATGAGGCAAACGATCCTGGGGAGGGTGACTTCAGTTACAATGACACCTCTGCGAGCGAAGCAGCCGAGCCTCCAATTAAGGTTCACAGAGGACTGGAAGACAATGAGGAAGTAGAGGAGACTTTAGACTGGTTACGTGACCATGGTGTCAAACCTCCGCCTGATCAATCTGATATTAAAGAGGAAATAACCGCGACAGATCAAGAAGGAAGTATTTCCCCGCCAACAAGTCAAATAAGAAATATTAATCTCCCAGCAACTGAGAAGAAAAGTACTATTCCGCATGCAACAAGTCAGATACCAAGTACAACATCCAAACTTTTACTTCGTTCAACGAGGCCAATGACAATTGATCGTGCTGCAAATCGAGATGAATTGGCAAGTAAGCCCCCTGATACATCTTCAATGCCTTTTAACTCCAAACTTGAATTTTCTTCTCCTGTTCCATCAGTGAGTGAGCGGACAACAAGTACTGTTCCGCGTCCAGTAAGTCAGCTACCAAGTACAACATTCGAAATTTTACTTAGTTCAACGCTGCAAATGACAAGCGACCATGTTACAAATCGAGATACAGAGGCGAATAAGCCCCCTGAAACATCGTCAATGCCATATCAGTCCAAACCTGAATTTTCTTCTCCTAGTCCATCAGCGAATGAGATAACAAGTAATGTTCCCCACCCAGCAAGTCTGGTACCAAGTACCACCCCTCCGTCAACAACGTCCAGAACTTCACCTCAACCCACCCAACCTCCGGCGACGAAAGGCTTCCCTAATACTTCGCCAACATCACGTCACTCCAACTTTAAGTTATTATCTCATACTTCTGTCAGTGAGCAAATCAAAAGTGTCAAAAATGGTTTAAAATCCACTTCCTCGAGCTTGAAGCTGGCTGAATCGCTGTTTAAAGCACCGGGAATTCATGCTAACTTATCGTCTAATGTTTCCACTGAGAGAAACAGCCATTTTACCTCTTCCTCTGCTTTATTACCAACCACAGGTATACCAACTCCCACGTATACTACTCCTAGTCTAACAAATCTGCATAATTGTAAGCTACCAAAGCTCAACCCCTGGGACCCCTCCATAAGGCACTTGTTGGAGGATGTCGGTGACGATCCCGGATGTAGAAATGGGTTCCCTGCCCCTGCGTTTGACGTCGTCGCTAACAGACTGGTACTCACAGGAGAGGTAAACGCAGATGAGGTAGATTTCAAGCAAGTGAATGTGGAGACGATTCATCGAAATGACGAGGATGACAACAATGTACACTTTATGAATCAAGGAAATCCGTTTACCGCTAACCTGTCCTCCGATGACTTCAATATCTCAAAAATAATTAACGCATCAGACTTTTTCAAGCTGACATACACGATGAAAACAGGCAAAGAAAATACACACTACTTTGCCCGAGTTGTACCACAACTCGACGCAATGCGTGAGGCAAGGCTGGTAAGGAAGGGGATCGAGCGACAAGGAAAACCAGAAGGGTTAAAATTGAATGTTGTCATGCTTGGCTTCGATTCTGTTTCCGCTGCGAGTTTTCGTCGCAAAATGCCAAAGTCATTAGATTTTCTCAAGACGTCCCTGAAAACTTTCTCCATTTCTGGACAAACTGTGATTGGTGACGGAACAACACCCGCGTTGACAGCTATGCTCACGGGCCTGTACGAGACGGAAGCTCCAGAGGGCCGTCAAGGGTTCGACAATAGCGCTCCTGTTGATAAATGGCCCTGGTTAATGAAGTTGTACAAGGAGCATGGGTACGTAACGATGATGGCTGAGGATGACCCACTGATGGGCGCTTTTAACCTGAGGCTCAAAGGCTTTAAGGACCCTCCAGCGAATCATTACGTGAGGCCCTTTTGGCTTGCGCTGGAAGAAAACAACGAAAGAGACGAGCCAGGGCTGTGCTCGCGTTCAACATTTATGACAAATTTCACTTTGGACTACGTTCTCAGCTTTTTTACAGCGTACCCCGATAATCTCAAATTTGCATTTGCTTTCATGAGTTACCTGGCACACGCCCACCCGAATCACCTCAGTTTCGCAGATAACGACCTTTTGCGAGTACTTCGCACATTTGTCAAACACAAGTACCACGAAAACACCGTGATTGTTATATTTGGAGATCATGGCTCAAGAAATGATGACGTCAGGAACACGATGCAGGGAAAACTGGAGGAGCGGTTACCCTGGCTATCTATATCAGTGCCTGAATGGATTGAAGAAAAATACCCTGATATAACCTCAGCATTAAAGCAAAATCAAGACACTTTATCAACTCCATTTGATCTACACGCCACCCTTCATCACGTATTGACCTATCCGAAGGAACCACAAGGAGAGAAGACTCAGAGCTTGTTTACAACATTGAATTACTCAAGGACTTGTGGCGAGGCAGGTGAGCAAAAATTAAAGATAAAAATATCCGGCAAAGCACGTTTTGCGCAGAATATAAAATGCAAATGTCTTAAGTACGGTTAAGAGTTACATTTAAAATGTAATTCAGACACCCTACAAAGGCCACGTATGTTCACCCTTTTTAGGGCTTTCCACAAGTTGCTCGGCAACTTTTTGGCAACTTCTCGTATTTCGAGTACCTTTTTGCATTCTGAACAATTTCTCTAGTTACCTTCTAATTCTGAGATAACGGAGCAGCCTTTAGTGCTTAAAAATAAATTGGCCTTTCTTCCATATTTCACAATGTTTTAGTAGACAATTTATGAATTTCCTGTTAAAAAAAAGAGAGAGCCAAATCCTCGCCCCCTGGGGCAGATCATGGGCGCAAGATCAAAGCAGCCGGACTGCTCGATCAGCGGTCGTCAGAGAACATTCAAAATGGTGGACGAAGATTCACACTCGACTGACTTGAGTGTCTCGGGTGAAGAAGGTCATTCAACAATTTTATTGGCTCATTACATTTTTTAGTTTTATTGAGGATAAAGTTATTTAGCAACGCTGGTTACGACGCAAAATTGCACAAAAATGCTTAGAAATCTTACCTTGCTGTACAATTTGCATATTTTTAGCATCAGACCAAAAGACGTTTTTGTTTTTCGAGCAACTTTTGAGCAACTTTTTGAGAAGTTACGAACAGTTTTTTGGACAACTTGTAGAAAGCCCTAACTCTTTTACTTTACCGGATAGCTTTTGTTCCGCCATGAAAATCAAACCGGATAGGGTTTCTGTTCACACATAAGAACGGTGATTTTAGCGCGAGTTCTGTAACGAAGCAAAGCTGCGTCGCGCTGATCTCGAAAGTAGAGCGTCACATATTGGATAGGTTCTGTGTCGCACTTTGGTGAACAGGCTCGGACCGTCGAAGTGAAAAAATAGGAACGGGACTGGAAGCTACTGGGAAGAAAGTAAATATTAATATAATTGAACGTCGTAAGTGATTTCGCCCAGGGGCTGACCTTGTTTGTTATTGAAAAGTGCGGACACACTATGCAACAACACAAGCAACTTTGGAAGCTGCATCACTGATGTGTCCAATCTCGCACCCCCGATCGCAAACACGTCGATTGCTTCACTTTTTTCCACTTTTTCATCCATATGATTTCAGAGTGATTTTCGGTAGGTTTTATGTAGGGACGCCATGTTTGATTTTTTGAAGGCGGTATCAACTTAAGTGATATTACGCAAAAAGTTTCTTGTTATCTCGTATCACGTGACTACCGTTGTACGCCTTGTTATAGACGGCGGAACTGAAAACGTCGCTCATTAAGACCCGCTCTATTTGTCAAATGTGGGCGAATTTTAATCCTGGAGTTGAAATCTCAAGGATTGTATCCAGGCTAAATAAAATGAAAGGAGAATTCGTCGTCTTCTGTTCGCGTCCTCCATAAAACGTTGCGTAAGGAAGTTTCACGTCGTAGTCGTGCAGTGGACGTCAAGGAAATGGACTAGAAATGTGATGTTGTTTTGCTCATAAACCTCTTTTTTTAAGTTGTTGTTCCCGTAGTCATCGTGGTTGCTTAAGCTCTCTATATATTCGTGCCTGTCGTCACATTAATTCAGACCTATTTCCTTTTTTAGGTATTGATGAACACTGGTGTCCGTGCCTAGAATTTTGGAACGAAAACATCACATCTCCGCATGTGATTGGTGGAGCAGAAATGGCTGTCAAATATATCAATGACGTCATCCTGAACCGCACAGACTTGCTTCGCACGTCATGCGCGCGCATCAAACTGAAGAAAATCCTAAAAGCTGAACACTTCAAGCCGAAGGAAAAGCTTCAACGATTTACCTCCACAAACCAGGATTCAGATCGCGCCGTAAATTTTGACTCACCAACTCCAGATAGTGCTCACTATAGAATTAATTTCATGACCAGCCCCGGTAACGCGTTTTTCGAAGCCACAGTAGCCGTTCGTGAAGATAAAAAGGTGATTGTGAATCCCAATATAAGTAGGACAAATGTCTACGGTGATCAGCCTAGATGTATTTTGCGCAAATATCCTTATGCTAGAAAATTTTGTTACTGCAAAGAAACCATGGCAAGAACATGAAGCGCTTCGGGTGGAGGGTTGTTGAGGTAGGCCAATTCAGTCATCAACGAGAATTAGCCAGAATTTGCACTTTATTTGTACTTTCAATGAAATGTATTTAAATAAAGTGCTCGGGCAAGCTGATTTCAGGCATACCGTGAGGAAATTCAATAAGTACTAAGAATTACAAGCTATTGAAAGACATAATAACAGTATTTAAAATTCACAACTATGTAAGTACATCTATGAATTTTTAACTATTTTATAAAGTCAATTTTTAAACTTTAACTAGTTTCTAAAGAGTTTTTATAATTTTAATTTTCAGGTATGAAATTACACTGCAGTGCGTTTGCCGCATCACGCTTGAAATCTAGGGGGTAGAAGCTAATTGGGACGGGACATTTACAGGCAAACTCACAACACAGCTAGCCTCAGCCAAAGTTTATATAGGAACATCGGGAGACGTTGCGTCGTGCATTGATTTGTCCCGAAAACATTCCGTCCCAATTAGCAGCCTGGCTCTTCGATTATGGTATGATATCCATAGGCTTTGTAGCAAGTTAAAAGTTGAATCTCTATTCAAATGATGAGCCTGTTAGTTTTAAGTGTGCATAGTGGTACTTTCTACCACTGAAGGAACTCGATACGGGCCAGATTACATGTAGGGGAAGAGAAAAGCGAATGGCTGGGTTCTAGGTACCTCTTTCGTCAGTCCCCTTCCATGAAGAATAGACTACGAGTAGTCCCCCATTTTTCCTCAGGGATAGTAGAGCGAGCGAAACGCGAGTGCGCGTGAAAATCACGCCACGCGAGAAAGGGGAGACGCGTTTTTCTCTCTCCCCGCCACGTGTCGCCTTTTCTCGCGTAGGGTGATTTTCACGCGCGCTCGCGTTTCGCTCGCTTTACTATCCCTGAGGACAAATGGGGGAGTACTCGTAGTCTAATGAAGAATGGCACGTCGTTGGCCGGACCCATAAGTTACGTCTATAGATAAATTTACTGTAGAACCCCGATAACTTGAACGCCCCGCTAACTCGAACTGGGTCCACTTTCCCTTGGATCCACTGGTCATTTTTACTAGGTTAACTAGAACTCAGATAACCGGAATTCCCCGCTAACTCGAAATTTACCCCGATAACTCGAATTCTGTCTCTTTTAATGATTCCATCCCATTAGCTCTTCTTGTTGAATAAGGGTCAAAACCTTTAAACTAACACTGGTCAAAAATCAGTACTGTGTTGAGTTCGTACGGGCCAGGATCCTTCTCCCGTATTAATCATTATTGGGTGTACGTCAACCTCTCCCTGCCCACCTCCCGCACCCCCAATGCCTTAATCTCAGGAGTGACATACTGACGGAGTTTGAGGACCTGACAGACCTGACAGTGAAATAGTAGATTATCGTGGTCAGTCCCACGCGGCAATTTTTTGCGCCTGGTGGATTTTGCCTTTTGAAACCGTTTGTTGTTCTGGTCTTGAAGAAAACCTTTCTAAGAAACCCGTCAAAAAATCTTTAGAAAGGTAAAATTATGTTAGACAACTGATGAGACTTGGTTATTGAATTCTTTTTTTTTTTATTTGTTAAACCAACGTGTTGTCCCTTGTCAAAAATTAGATTATCGATTTTTCTGGAGGCAGGTACAAAAGTCGGACCGGATCAACTCGGACCGCCAGTCCGGGTCGGATCAACTCGGATCGACTCGGACCGACTCGGATCGAATAAAAAAATAAAAATGAAATAAAATTGGACTCGGATCAATTCGGATCATAAAAAAGAAAACAACTCGGATTATAAAAAGAAAAATAAAATCAGTCGGTATCACTTAACTTTCACCCGCCATTTTGTTTTTTTCTCACAAACTCGTGGTTGCGTAAATTAATTTTATTTTTATTTTTATTAATTTTAATGATACACTAGTGAGCAGCACACACACTTCCAGTGAACATTTTCAACTTGGAAGGAGGAGAAATCATGCTCGCCCGGGAGAACGAAAATTTTCGTACCCCGGGCGAGAATTGAACCCACGACCCTCCGGTCGAATACTACATGTTTATCGCACGTTTCAACCACTGAACCGGAGGGTCGCGAGTTTGATTCTTGCCAAGGGCATGGAAATTTCCTTTGTCCCGGGCGAGCATGGTTTCTCCTCCTTCCAAGTTGAAAATGTTCACTGGAAATTTATGTGTGCTGCTTGTTACGCCGCAAAATGTAATATTAACGCAAAATGTAATACTAACGCAAAATGTAATAACATTGACGCAAAATGTAATAAAATTTTCAACGCAGAATGTAATAATCTTTCAACGGAAATTGTAATAACTTTTCTAACGCATAATGTAATAGCGCAAAATGTAATAATTTCCGAATAACGACGTGCATGCTATTTCAAAATCGGTATTGTTGCTCAGTCATCGGTAGCGAATCCAGATCTTCAATTAAATTATAAGCTATTATTATTATTGATATATTTAAAATCTTTATTACAAAACCTCAATTAAAATCCTATTTACAATCAACCAGCTGTTACACAAGATCTAATTAATTCATCAAAAACACTATCCGCAATTCCTTCATTAGAGAACAAAAACAATCCTATATATAATAAGAGAAAAAAGAAAAAACTATTCATTTACAAATTCTAAAAAATAGAAGTAACTTAACCTTACATAAAAGAAGAGGAAATAGATATAATTAATAATAAAAGTTCAAAATTCTATAAAATTAAGAATTCCATTATGCAGAGATATTAAGATCATACAATCAAATTATACTAATGACGGCTAAACCAACCAGTGTCCACAAAAAGCCCTAAGTAAAAGCATATAGACACGTAATTCAGATATCCGCACTAGCGGCATTTATTTTACAGTCTAATGATTGCTCTATCTTGCTACGAAACGGCGTTCGCGAACCTCTGACGCATGCATGTACCGATCTTAAGAGTTCAAACGAGATCTGTCCTGAGCCAAGTGATTACAACATGATAAGGCTCGGTGTCTTTCTGAGCTATCTTGTCTGCGAGATGCTTTAAGAACCGCTGACACTCGTTTCCCATTCCGCCATTGGTTCCAAACACTAAAGGCGTAAACGAACCCATTTCTACATCTAACACCCGCTGCTGGTACTTGCGCTTCTTCTCTTCTTCTTGCTCTTTGAACACTTCCGATGTTGGCTTGCTCTGGTAACACTTGGAGTTGACGTGCGTAACTCTAACATCAAAAAATGCCGTAACTCCTCTTGCCGAGAAACCTCCCGCTTTGATGTCCAACCTTGCCTCAGAACTTGTAACAGCGCTCCTCAAATGAAATCGCTCGTTGTCCAGGGGTTGAAGGCGTGGTTCGATTTCGACATTATTGCAGATCTTGTCGATGAATGTCGTTAACAAGTTCCGTACACCGTCATGCCTCTGCGCTACAAACCCCCGCCTTTTTACAAGAGAGGGCGTGACTAACGGTGAATTTATCCCCACATATGCAATGACTTGGTAAATCGACTAAGGGCAAGTCATAATGCAAGCGTAGCGAGTCTCTGAACTCTTGCTTGTTGAGGGCTAAACCTTTGTCTGCGAGAGGCATCGCATTCAGCCAAGAACTTGCGCCCTTGTCCCTCGATTGATTAACCAGACGCAGCAGGCCTGGGGAGAGGCTTGAATCAATGCTATCCATTTTCTCTTTGGCACTTGCTCTCTTAAGTGATTGTTGATGCCTCTTTAGCTCCTCCGTAGGTCTTTCTCCTGGCATCATGATGGAACTCTGTGAAGTAATGGAATCTACGTGCGCGGTGGTTATTAGTCTCGAGGCAGCAAACTGCTGCGGTTCCTCGGATTTCAGATCAGGAATGCCTAGACGCCCTTGACCTGTTGCTAAGGTAGCAAGTCTGCGCACCTCGTTAGGGAGAGGCTCTGATTGACCGAACAAAGTTGGGAGTAGTAAATCTTCAATCACTTCCTGGATTGGATCGACATAAACTTCAAACGATTCAATCGTGCGCATGAAGTAGGTGAACTTCGACTTATAGCCTTTTGTGAAAGCAATATACGCCGCATGGGGCTGGCTCTTCGCTATTTCAGAGAGAGGTTCGATTTCCTCTTTCCATGCACGAACCTTCTCCTCACAATACTGATCTTTGTATTCTTGCGACGCAATAACTGCTCCCAGATGGCGCTGACCTTCAGTCGTTATGTTGACTTCCTCTCCAAACACCCTCTTTGCTTCCTTCGCGAGTTTCCTAGACTTCACAATAAGCCAGCTCTTTGTCCCATTCACAAGGTAATATTAATATTAATATTATTATTATTATTGCTAATATTACAATAATAATTATAACAATAAGACGAAGAAGAAGAAGAAGAAAATAAATATTATAACTATTATTAATATCAATATTGATAATAATAATAATAATAATTCAAATGAATATCTGGATCAGCTACTGATTACTGAGCAACAATACCGATTTTGAAATAGCATGCACGTCGTTATTCGGAAATTATTACATTTTGCGTTACTACATTATGCGTTAGAAAAGTTATTACAATTTGCGTTGAAAGATTATTACATTTTGCGTTAGTATTACATTTTGCGGCGATTCTTATTACATTTTGCGGCGATTATTACATTTTGCGGCGTAACAGCTGCTGACAAGTGTATTATTAAAATTAAGTTTCAGAAGTCCTGCAGAAAAAAAACAAACAGGAACAAACAAACAAACACTCTTCGGTAACTATCTGTATGCGATCAACAGACCAGGCTTTTGATGCTTTTCTCATAAATAATTCAGAAGTCTAATTGCTACGGAGCGACCGAAGGGAGCGAGCAGCAACATAATCAGGATTTAAAGGAAATATATAAGGGGCAAAGAATTCTCGAATTCATCACTTTTTACCACAATGCATTGCATTTAACCACACTTTTTACCATAATGCATTGCATTTAACCAGAGTGCATTGCGCCACGAACAGCTCAAATAAGAACACGGGGAAGTTCGGTGGGTGAGAGTGCATCGTTCGCTGCTTAGACTTA